TCTCTCTCTCTCTCTCTCTCTCTCTCTCTCTCTCTCTCTCTCTCTCTCTCTCTCTCTCTCTCTCTCTCTCTCTCCTTCTGCCTCTCTCTCTCTCTCCCCCATGTGGCACGATCTCGTGACTTTTAACGACCCCTCCACCCCGAATTGTAACGCGCGCGAGGCTGAGGGAGAGCCGAGGGAGAGGAGAGAGAGAGGGAGAGAGAGAGGGAGAGAGAGAGGGAGAGAGTGAGAGCACACACACACACTCACTCACTCAACACGACTGAGGGTCGTACGCAGACACAGTGGCAAGGGCACAAAGTCGAAGTCTTGGATTCCGGAATGCCGAAACAGCAAGTCACACGGAGTACGAGTACAGCAGCTGGAAACTGGTACGAGACTGGTCCCCGTACCGTACGGGGAACCGGTGTAAGTACCGGTGACACGTACGGTACCAGGGGCATTTCTGCAAAGGCCCAGAGGGCAGAACTGAAAAATGTGGTATTTGAAAGTGGCGCCCAAATTGCAGCATGGCGCCAGTTGTCCAAAATCCTACGGTACCCAAAGGAGGGGAAACCGGATGCAGCCGAAACAGCAAAAGATAGACCAGGGATCGAGCACTGGTGTAGTCCGTAACACTCTTTCTTTTACTGCATTCTTCTTTCTTTCACAGTTTTGCAGTTTTGGTGAAGAGTCTACCATGTTCGGTTTTCAGCGCACCWGCACTTCTTCATTTTTCATTCTCATTTTCACCCTTCAGAGTTTTCCTTTGAGGGTGTTAGGGTGCAGGGTACACACAAAGTAAAATAACACAAACTTATGTTCTTCTTGTACTGCATTCTTCACTGTTTTGCAGTTTTAGTGAAGGTTTTCCCACCTTTGCACATTCTTGTACACTCTTTTCAGCGCACCTGCACATTTTTGTCAGGGTGCAAGGTACATCTAAGTAAGACCCTCACGACAGATAGGACAACTGTCATAAGGATGCAGGCGATGGTAGCAGCCCTCCCGCTGATCTACAGGACGAAAACCATTCAGGTAAGCAACTTTGTCACACCAGGAGCCAGGGCGGCATGCATTAACCATACCTCTGAAGCATGCACGACAGAGGGCATGCCGGTTGCAGGCCATGACGATTGTGGGGCGTTCACCATCACAGTTAAACCACCAGTACTTGGCCCATACATCGGCTGCGGGCCGTTGCCGTTAACGCTACCCAAAGTTCGGGCTTCGGGGTACCGGACCTCAATGGCTGCAAGTGCCAGCCAAAAAAAATTGAAACGATACCCTGGCACTTCGGCAAAAATCGGCGTGCAGGGGGATTCCAGGCTCGGCAACGATAGCTGGGCCAAGTACTGGTGGTTTAAGTGCACATTCGCTATAGCGCCCGCAGGCACAGATGGGACATACTGCATATGGATGTAGAGGATGTTCACAATCCGGATACAGGTGGCATCCCTGCCGACAGTGGGCCGGAAAATTATACGGTTGTAGTGATGTCGACAAAGTCGATGCTTTCCACAACCAAGTGTAACTGTATCAGTGATCTCACAAAGAAGGAGGTCACAAGGTGTTAGTGCAGCATGTGGGGGAATGAAGACTAAAGCACGCACGGTGACAGACATGGAGGTAGGCACGGAGACAGACACAGAAACAGGCATGGAGACAGGTGCGGAGGCAGGCACAGAGACAGGTGCAGAGGCGGGGACGAAAGTACACGAGGTACCCATAGGGTCAGTAATCTGGAAGGAGACAGACACAGAAACAGGCACAGAGACAGGTACAGAGGGAGGCACAAAGATAGGCGTAGAGGCGGGCATGGAAGTACACGAGGTGCCCATAGGATCAATGACCTGGAACAGTTGCAGATTAGGGTAATTATGCACGAGATCACATATGGCAGTAATAGTTTGCACCATAGCACCGCCATTCAATAATTCCCAAGAACCAGAGGCACGAACAAGAGCGGTGTAGTGGCCAGGAGCATGTAGAATATAGGCACAAACGTGCGAACAGTGGTCTGGGTCGCCACCCGAAGGGGCACGCTGCATATCAAGTCGGCGCCTTATCAAAGCAGTCTCCGAAACAGAGACATTGAATCCCCCATGTGGAGTGTAATTACTATCTTGCAGGGGATGGAAAGTCGGGTTATCGCCATATAACTCACGTTCCTGACCATCAACATCGGAAGCAATGGCCAAGAAATCAGAGTGAGTATATGGTTCCCGACGATAGGCTTGTAAGCAGATGTTAGTGGCAGCGAGGCCACAGAGATTCGGTGGAGGCCGGTCAGGCGGATATTCTACAGAATCTCCTACAGTCCCCTTGCCAAGTTCATCCTCGGATGGTCCCTCGCTGTCATCCCTCCTATTTTGTGTTTGCTGCGTTGCAGAAATGTCTGCAGTCAAAGAGCGTCGCAGGCGTGGTAAGAATGCTTGGGGCGGCAAAAGACGGGGACGGGATGTTGGGGAGGGCCGTCGTGGGGAGAACGAACGGGTTCTTCTTCGTCCAAGAACAGAGATGGAGGAAAAGGGAGTAAGCTGAGGTTGGGAAGTAGGCTGAAGCCGGCGTCTAGGACAGCGAAGTAGGCTTTATGCAGGGGCAGAACATGATGACGGAGTCTGTATGGACGAAGTGGTTTGTGGATTAGGAAGAGGGGTAACGGATGGAGACA